TCTAAACACTGGTTTCACAGCTTTGAGGAAAGGTTACTTTGGCTTGTTGCATTTACTTATTAGGAATTCAGTAATTCATGTATTGAAATATGGTTTCAGCAGCTTTATGTAACTGGATAAGAGTAGGTTTAGAATAAATAGTAGACAAAGTGTTGCTTTTATATAACAATCTTAATACAGAAGCCCAGCTAAGGGATGTTCAAGACCATACTATTTCAACTGCAGTAGGTGGAAAAGTGACCAGAGTGTCTTCTAGCTGTCCCTCATTGATTATGCCTTCTGTGTTACAGAGCATTCAGTAGTTCTCTAGGCATAATGTTTTCATTATTTGGGAGACAATATCTTCCTTTTCTTTAGAAAAGTCTGACTATTTTCTCTCTTTTCCAGGTGCTGGAGTTCTTTGTGGCACTGAACTTGTCTTTGAGTGTGTTTTGCCCAATGCAACTATTTGAAATGTTTTTACAAAAAAACTGCAACTGACTGTTTTCCTCTGACTTGAAAAATCATAAGAAATAGTTCAAAAAAACCCTGATTCCGTCATTGAGAGAACGGATGGATACACTTTCAGTGGTGTGTAAACACAGATAAAAAGAAAAAGAAGTAATTTTTTACTTGTGGAAAAAAATCTTGCCTGGCAGACATCTTTTAGCATAGCAAACTTGTAAGCACATGTTGGAGAACTTTACAAGTGTCCTTATTGTGATCAGTGAGCATCTCCAAAGAACTGAAACCTTACATTAAAACACGTAATAGGGAACAGAACGTAAGAAACATGCCAACTCAGCCTCTCTTGGCATACATGGATGGACCGGATGGAATAGCCAGTACTGTTGGTGCCCAGATGGAGAATAATGATGCTTCAATGACAATAAAAGGAACAAACACAATTTCTTACAAAAGCTTGCAAGAAAAATTTCTCATGCAAGCTGAGGGATGCATGCCTCTGGACTGCATGTTTTGTGATGAGACTTTTAAACATCCTGAAGAACTTGGTAAGCATGTTTTAACTCAGCATAGGCCCACTCTTTGTGAACCAGCTGTCCTGCGTGTTGAAGCAGAGTATCTTAGTCCTCTAGATAAATGTCAAGTAAGAACAAATTTGCCTTCACCAAACAATGAAAAGGACAGTGAAGAACTTAGTTGTAAAGTTTGTGGACAAACATTTGATGAGGCTTTTGATGTTGAGACGCACATGAAAAAACATAAAGATTCTTTCACGTATTGGTGTAATGTATGTGGAAGAAGATTTAAGGAGCCGTGGTTCCTCAAAAATCACATGAGAACGCATACTGGAAAGCCTGGTTCTAGAAACAAGCACCAACAAGGTTCTGAAGGCCCTGTAACAATAAATGAGGTGGTGCAGGAACATGTAACTGAAAATGTAACGTCACCTTACAAAATTTGTATGGTTTGTGGTTTCCTATTTCTCAATAAAGAGACTCTAATTGAGCACAGTAAAGTGCATACCAAAGAATCAGTACCCAGTAGTGAAAGCCCCCAAGAGACTGGTGAACCTAAGACAGAAGAAACTTCTCGAAAAAAGGATTTTTTCCAATTCTTGAACTTAAGACCAAACACGGTTCCAGAAAATGACAAATCACAAAAACCTGTGAAATGGATCGCTGAACTAGATCCTTTCAACACATATCAAGCATGGCAGCTGGCTACCAAAGGTAAAGTTGCAGTTGGCCATGGCCAAGTTAAAGAACCAGGGCAAGAAGGAAACACAGACAATGATGATTCATCTTCTGATAAGGAAGAACTTGGTGAAATTTGGAATGCAAATAAAGGTAGCCAGACTGAAACTACAGGGAAGTCAAAAGTAAATAAAACTGGCAGTTATACAGGGAATGGTAACTTATCCCAAGATAAACTGAAACATCCCGGTGGTGAAGTGCCTTCTATGGAGATGGATTCTAAATTGTCCCAGAACAAGGAGAAACCAACACACTGTTCAGAGTGTGGTAAAGCCTTCAGAACATACCACCAGCTAGTCCTTCATTCCAGAGTACATAAGCGAGACAGACGGACTGATGGAGAGACTTCAGGTGCTTCGAGGACATGCTGTGGTGATATAATTGCAAGTCTGGATGAAAATGGAGCAGGAGAACGAATAGAAGGAGGCTCTGAAGATGGATCTGAAGACGGGCTGCCGGAAACACTTAATTTAGGTGAGTGGCATTTTGAGTATGTATGTTTGAAATAGGTGTTACTGTAGTGGTTAGGAACTCTTTAGAGCCAAAGAATGCATCTTGCTTTTCTCAGTTATCTTATCAAAAGTGGGCCAGAGATATGAAGTGGGGGAAGGGGAAAAGAGAAAAACAAGAGGTAAAGAAAAGCTCTGACACCACCATTTTGAGATCTTTGAAGCTGTGTTGGGCCTTTTTGCAGTTATGATTTGGGTTACTGGAATCATTGAAATACTTAAAATAAAAATCAGTCTAGGAAAAGTCCCTGTTCACTTACCCGCCCCCCCACCCCACCCTGCAATAGCAAAAATCTTAGTTTCACTGGATGCTTCTGAGTGTTACATATCTATTCTTGTCCATGTTTTTACAAATAGTATTTCTGAAGAAATCATTGCAGTTTCACTTTTTTTGCTGTATCTTGTAAAAAAGGGCAGAAAATGTCCAGTGCTCGGTACCAGCAATTGTTAAGATCCTGAGAAGTAAAGAATTCCAAACTTTTCCCATCAAACTGCAGGTTGTATGTTCTTTTGAATGTTATGTAACCTGAAAGCCTAAATGTCAGAACCAGCAATTTTTAAATCAGTTGCATAAGGACGTGCATGCAGGCTTTTAATATGTGGACGTCATGTATGGAACCCTTCTTCCTTGAAGGGTTGCAAACAGTTCTCTTTGACCAAGTAGATGGGCTCTATCTGTTTGTTTTCCAGGATTAGTTCTACATCTCGCCATGTTTTAAGAATACAACTGATACAAAATGATTCCTTAATTGAAAAAGATTGCTTGTCTGGGGGGAAAAAAGGAATAATGAGAAGCCTTCTAGCTAGTGTAGCAGTCTTGTGTCTGACATGCTCTGAGTCTGCATTTAAAGAACAGACACTTGCATAATCTCAAGAAATGACACAACGTACAAAATGTCCTGGCACGCACAACTGACTTTACCATTTCTGGTAATGTGCAGCCTTTTATTTTGCCTCCAGTAACAAAGGAATGGAATTATTACCTAATGTTAATTTGCTTGTTTTGTTTCTCAGTGCCTTATCCTAAACTACAACAGCTTTCATTGTGAGATGCTGAGTCATGCTTATTGAGACATTATCTGTTTAAAACAGCTACGGCTTGTCCTAGCCGTAGCATAGCCATGCTTAGCGTTTCCAGTATAGAAGCTTTCCAACATGTAGGAACTTCAGAGAACCGTTTTAGGCTATCTATTGTGTATCTAACATCTTAGTCCAGTGAAACGTCTCCTTCACACTGTAGCTTTCTAGTCAGCTTTGACTTGAGTATTTTACTTAAGTTGTTTTGCTATTTTTTTCAACTCAACCTGCCAAAGAAATCCCATTGATTTGAATGGTGTATTGTGTGTGAGCTTTCTCCCCTTTCTTGTTAGGGATTCTGCTGTACTTGCTGCCCTCCAGTGGTAACTACGGCTGCTTACACTTGCATGGAGCCAGTTTTTAATCTGTGAATTTGTTCCTTGAGTACGTTTCATAGAATAACAACCCCTGTCACTTTCCTACTCCCATATTTGTCAAAGCTTAAGCATTAATGCTTCTAGTGAAAGAAGATTACTCACTAAATCTAAGGATGATGTTGTACAGGCCCGACACTCCATTGGTTAACACAGAAATAATAATAATATTATTGCAATTAATAAGAAAATCCCTCTTCCTCCCTGCCTTCCTTCCACAAAACACCATCCTGTGTTTTGCCATGGTGCACAGAGCAGGTTTACAGTCTGAATCATCACTCGTGCTGTGAATTCAAGCACTCCCTTTAATAAAACAATACAGTTTATAGCCTGTATGCATTTTTGAGATGGGTCCTTGTCCATCAAGTTCCTGCAAGTCAGTAAAGACTTCTTTTTTTTTTTTTTTCTTTTCCACTTCTTTGAGACCTAGTTTTGCATCTTGTTTGTTCTCTGGGTCCTCTTTGTTACAGTCACTAACCAGGGTGTTACTTGACAGAGAAACCTTTAACTCTTTTGTTCTTTGATTGCTAAGTGTGCAGTAGTACAGAACAAAAGATGCTGGTAGACTGTAGGAGTTGACAACAGTTCGTCTTTCTGTGTTTTTCTTTAAAAAAAGACAGTTAAGATAGTTATAAATGAGACTCCAAATTTGCATTTGCTCTTCGTAATATAGCTATATTTTCTCCCAAAGATAAAAATGAAGGTGGTTTGGAAAGAGCAAAAGTTAAAAACCTTGGAGCCTCCAGAGAATGCAGCTATTGTGGAAAGTATTTTCGCTCAAATTATTACCTCAATATTCATCTCAGAACTCATACAGGTAAATGGGCTTCACCTTTGTGGGAGGGGAAGGAAGTCTGCTGAATCCAGTTGGATGGATTGTTTGGTTTTGCTTAAGAAAAACAGAAGTTGCCTTCAAAATTATTGATATCAAGAACGAAGTTTTCTCTAATGCAAAAAAAAAAAAATTCCAATTGAAATTTCCTAGAAGGAATTAATTATTTATGTAAGTGTAAATCTTTTTGAATAACGCTAATTATGTTAAGGTACTGTTAAGAATACAATATATTACAAAAATAATTCTTTGTGTTTTTAACAGTCTAACTAAAAGTTGTTGAGGTTTTTTTTTTGGTTTGGGTTTTTTTTTTTAAAGCTTATTTCCCAAGAACTAATTTGATTGTCTGCCAGTTGCTGCTACCTGGGAAAAAGCTTTGTCTTTTTTTGGTTCAACTTTTTGTTTTCCATAGCCAGGCAAACTCTTTCTACTTCTGTTAATGTATGTCCCTGTTTCTTTTGAAACAGCTCTATTTATAGATGAACTGTAGCATTTGTGTTATTGAATAGCATACTTGTGGTATGATCAAGGGCTACAAATTGTTGGAGTTGACCCACAGCTATACTTCTTGCTTATCTCTGCCAAACATATTGTCAGCTACCATCTCCATACATAGCCACTGTGTGGAAAATACCCTCATTGTAGCCAGAAGATGTCACTGTAGTCAGTAAAAGCAGTAAGATGTAGTTTAAATGATTTGATGAGTTTGAGAATTATGAGTACGTGGAAGGGGAAAGACAAATATATTTTACTGTTTTGTGGTCTACATTATTCCCTTTAATTGTATTAAAGACTTCAAATTGTATCAAACTTACTGATAAAACTGTGTTTCAGGTGAAAAACCGTACAAATGTGAATTCTGTGAGTATGCAGCAGCACAGAAAACTTCACTGAGGTATCATTTAGAGAGGCATCACAAGGACAAGCAAGCTGATAGTGCAGCAGACGTGAAAAGTGAGAGCAAAGTTTCATTACAGAGTCAGGAACCAGTGCTCTTGCTGGCCGCTGATGGTGCTCAAGAAACCAAAAATTTGAAGAGGCTTTTTAATTGTGCCAAAGATGCTGAGGGCTGCCCACCTACCAAGCAGCAAAAGGAAGCTCTGTCCTTGAACAATGCAATAGGCAGCACTGTCCTTTTAAAAATGAAAAATAATTCTAGGGAATTGAACAAAGGTTCCATTTGTAACAATTCAAATAAAATACATGAGAATGTGTCCACTCCTTACTCGGAAAAACTAAAGGCTGAGAAGGAAACAAAGGAAGCTCAACACCACATTCCTCATAAAAGAGAGAGAAAGACTTCTGTAGCATCAGATGGAGATGATGTCCAGTATGTTTGTGCTTTAAAGGATGGAAAAAATGTGAATGATGATCAAGAGTGCATTGAAATCTGCACACTCAAACCTGTGGTGGACTCTCAAGAAAAGCCTTTGAACTTATCTATTGGCACTTCACAAGAATGTTCAGTGGTTTCAACTAGAGGTCTGCTAGCACCCAGCACCTGTCCATTTTGTACTTACAGAACATTTTATCCAGAGGTCCTAATGATGCACCAGAGGCTGATGCACAAATACAATCCTGATACTGTTAACAAAAACTGCAGTAGAGGCAAGGCTCTAGCTAAAGCCAGACGCACTGGATGCCCTCCAGCTCTGCTTGGTAAAGATGTGCTTCCTCTGTCTTTTAATTCTAAAAAAAGTAAGGCTTCCCCATCTACGCAGCAAAAACCGTTGCAAACGGGGAAAGCTAAACAGTGTCACCCTCCACAGAACAAAGTCCCTGTCTTTTCAGTGACTGATTCAAGCAGCACAGCCCCAAGTAACCTCAAGTTTCATAAACAGCAAAATAATATTGGAGCTCAGGCAAATAACTATAGACAACCTCAGCAAGAAATGCACTCCAGTTCCACTATCTCTCCAGTACTGGACAGAGTAAAAAGGTCTGAATCTAAAGTAAAATCTCCAAGTGTCCCAGTGTCTCAGTCTGGTCTAGTAAGCAGCGGTATGAATGGGACTCTTGACTCTAACCTAAATGAATCTGCCTGGTCCTGTCATCGAGGAAGAGACTATCATTGTAGTAAATCTGTGAGCAGTGTAAATCTAGATTACGGTGAAACATCATCTAAACGAATGAAACCTAACCCGTTAGCTGTTGAACATATTGACTCTCCAATGGCTAATTACAGAAGATACGAAATGCGCAGATTTCATGTTGCAAACAGATATGCAAATCTGCTACCTCAGGAATGTTCTCGCACCAAACCTGCATCCTCTGTTTTGCCAACCAAACAAGGGCTTCTGAATTCGGACGATGTTGATCCTCCTAATGCATTGACTGTTCTCAAACCTTATGAGCCATATAGCTCTGGATCACTTTACAGTTCTTGTGGATCTAGCAATGGCCAAGTAAACACCTCTACAGTAGAAGGTACTGTATCTCCTTCCTAGCTCAATGTCTTATACTATTCCAGAGGAAAGTGAATGAAATATTAAGTGTGTACCCACCTTGAAACAGAGAAAATAAAGTTGTACTTAGCATTTCACCAAGTCTAGTCAATGCTTGGATTTTAAATCGTGGCTTGGGGAATTAGGCATGGAAGGTCTGAATTTTAAAGAGGGATTTAAAGTTCCTCAAGTTTCCTCCTCCCCCCTGCTGTGGGTCTCTGATAGCAAACATGTATTGTTTGCTCATCAGAGCACTCCAGACATGCTCACTAATCCAGGATATGGAATGAGCCTTTCTGCTTAATATACAAGAAGTCTTGGACCATCTGGAATATTAATAAAACATCTTACAAAAAACCCCAAACTGTCATGGACAATTGCTCCCTTCAATTGCAGAAAAGGATGTATTACAAATCGTAAAACCATGATTTAATCTTATACCTCTGTTCTTCAATGGGTTTTATAATGTTTAGTTTTTAGTAGGAACAGAATACTTTGTTAAATCAAGACAACATATTTCTGTTATTCTAATTATGGTTTCTCTTTACACTGAGTAGTAATGCTTTGTGGAAAATTCTGGGCCTAGCAAAGATAAATGTTTTGTCATGTATTTGGAAAACTTAGGTACTTTTGTGACATGCATGCTTTTTGTGTTTTGTTCTTAGTCAACATTTTCAAAATTTACCAGGAGGCCAAAATTAAGAGGTGCTACATGATACTTAATCAGTTGTCTGACTATTTGTAGAGGATATTTATGACTTTGAGCTGAGGTCAGGATGGACTTAACTATAAATATACAACTTTGAATTTTGAAATGAAGATCCTATAATAAAAATGAATAGTGTGTGTATGCTGTGTAGTCTTAAAGTCTCTGCTAAGTTCTTAAACTCTGAATACTCCCATTCTCTGGGAGTAAGATTATTCTTCTGAGGGAGTCTAGGTTCATAACAAGCAGGGGTGTGTTACTTGAGGTCAGAGTGAACTACAAAATACTAAATCTGCGTTTAGTTATGTGGCAAAAAAGGTTGCTAACTCTCTTCTTGTTTTTGTTTGCTTGTTTTAAGGTTGTGGGCTTCATAAATATTCAGGCTTGCTAGTGGGTTATGGAAGGATGAAGGAAAGTGTTACAGTTCTGTTTCCAGTCTGGATAGGGAGTGGATAAAGGAAAAGCCAGCATCACAGTTGACTCACTGGAGTGGTTGTGAAATGGAGTTAATTCCTAGTTTCATGAAGAACATTGTCTATGTACCATGAACTGTACCATGAATTGCTATAAGGAATGTAAAATGGGTACTAGGTTATGCATAGAATGCAGCGGGGTGGGCAGGACAAATATTGCTGTCTTTTGATTCCTAGTGACCTGAGAGAATGAAATACAGGGATTTTTCTGAGCACAGAAGTCATTCAAGCAGTTGTGGAATTTATAGCACTTTGCAAGACTTGTTTGGTTTGGTTTTGGTGTTTTGTTTTGTTTTGTTTTTTTTTTGATTAGTGGTTGATAGCAGCTAAGAGCTTAATGTGCGATCTCAACATTTGATGCAGGACATGACTGTACTTACGGACTAATCTGTGTTTATTATCCAAGGACTTGTGCTTTATGACATTGCTCTCCGTTGAGCGGATAGAACATGCAGAATTTTGAGGGAATACTCTTGATGTTGTATAAAACCCTATTAATTTTCATGAAAACAGGAAGGGGAACGATAAAAGGCTTGCAGCTTCAACCAACTAGACAAGACTAGCCTGTACCCCAAGGACTAGATAGTGGCAGTGTCTTGCTCCTTTCCAGCATTACAGTACGTTGGGAAATTCTCTTATTTCAGCAGTAGTCTTAGTGACAACTTATTGAAGTAGCAGTTGATGCAAGACTATTTTTAAACAACGACTTCACTGGAATCCACCTTGTTCTTCTTTTGAAAGCTCCACCTGTCTGCCAGAAAGATCTGTGGTAGGCTTTTCTTCCTCTTCTTTGGTACAAGTCTGGAGACAGTAGCATGTAGTCAAGCACTTTCTACTGTTCCTTGTTACTTAGAGCTCTCAAAACTATGTCTCCAACTAATTTGAGTATATTGTTGTCACAGAAATAAAAATTTAATTGTTGGTTACACAATGGTGTCTCAGGGCAAGAAAAGCAGCTTTTTTATGGCTGTTACCTATATTGGAAAGACTTCTGAAACAAGACCCCCCTCTGTGGATTTTCTTAGCAACTTCAATAAAAGCCCTGTGCAGTAATAAGTAAGCTTTTAATGCTAATTCCCTAGTTTTCAAACCACTCTGCTCAGAGGTACCCAACCCAAACCTTGACAGTTGTTTTAGAGGATGGAGGGGTAGCAAACAGGCAAACTTCTCAGTGTGTGGAGACAGTGAAGATGACAGTTTCTGCAAATTTTTGTTTTGTCTTGTTTTTGTTAAAAAGCTGAAGTTGCAAGTCCTCAGAGATGTGTTTTGTAGGCTATCATATGCAAAGCACTGCAGGTGTAGACCTGCAGGTTTCTGTAGTCTTTTTATTGAACTCTGGTGATATTATATAACATGATGTCAGAACCTTTTTTAAGGGCCTCTGTGCCTTGTGGCAACATTATTTAGGTCCTGTGAACATGTTATGTCACATGTTAAATGCTGGATCAAGTTGTCATGAGAATATGTTCCACTTGGCAAACTTGATTAAAGCATGATGCCTTCTGTTATTGCTTGTAAGCTCTGCCATTCTGCGTTGCCCTGAAGAGACAGAAACGTTCTGAAACCACTCAGTTTGTGTTATTTTCAAATTAGTTGCCTTTGCAATGGCAACACGCTATCAAGGATAACCTGTTGGCTGATTGATCTGGCAGAGGCTGCAAATTAAAGACAATTGCTCATGACACACTCCAATGGCTTCGTAGATTCTGTTGAAATATTAATTTAGCTTTACCATTTTAATTTAATTAAAGCTTGCTAGGTTTTTTCAATGCTGCATTTAAAGCTTTCATGGAATATGGATGGCAGTTGGGCTTTTTGTATCCTGTGGGAGTAATGGTTCTTGACTTTTTTCCTTAATTTTATGAAGTGTTTTTGACTGCTTGCTTAGGCTAATAAGACTTAATATGGAACAGGCATTGATTTCACATACATAAATCTGAATTAATGGTCTCAGATAAACATGAAATTACCTGTATACTAGACTGAAAATTGTTTAACAAAGGTCTTCAAGTAAATGTATAGTAACGCTCTTTAAAATGTCATAATTGCCATATAATCTATGATGGCAATAATGTAGTATACCTGGTTTTCCTCTCAAATACTCATATTCAAAAATTTAATTTTCAAACGTATAGAAACTGGGTATATATGCATCATGCTATGGAATGTGCTGCGGCACTTAAACCATAAAATGAAGCCTGCTGTATTATGAGTTAAGCAAAGATATTTCTTGGAAATGAGCAAAACCTGGAGAGATGGACATCATGTGTATACAGCTTAGAACAAAGTTGTTAAATTAATATTTGTCATTCCTCTCTTATTTGTTCTGGATACTGAATTTCAGACAATCTTAAATAGGACTAGGGATATCTTGTCTTGGGCCTGGCTCTTGAGATGATTTGTGATAGCACCTGTGGTATTTGGGGATTCTGGATGTTAATGTAGATCTGCTGGTGATTGAATGTCTGACCAATTAGATTAGCAGGAAACAATTCTAACTCCTCTAAATTTATTTTTGTCAGGAAAGAGATCGGTGTCATACCAACACTTATCTAGCAGTGTGCTACAAAAGCGAAGTTACGAAACTTTCATTGGTAATGCACACTATCGACCAAGTGACAAGAAGAATTAATAATTTACTTCAAGAAACGGTAAATGAATCTTTTGAACTAATTGTTACTTAAATGTTGCATTATGTACTCATAACATCAAAGTTTGCTGCATAGCATGATGAGAGGTTATGAAAGTCTGAACCAGAACAGCTGAGAATACCAACTCCTCCTCACTTACAAAGTGAACCAAATACCGGTGGAGCAGCATGAGTTATTTTGAATAGTGGTAATGACTTGTGTAAAAAGTACATAGATGCTTCTTTTCTAAAAGAAATGGAAGGGCTAACCATTTAGTTACAATACCAGTGGGAACTGTTCAAGGAAAGGGCTTTCCTCTTAAGTCAGTACATGGTGGAGAAGTAGAAATGAGGGGAAGTGCCTGTTATCACAGTTCGTGAATCCCATGAGAGGTTATGTTGGTTAGTCCTTCCTGAAAACGTAGACATTACTCATTTTACAACTTCTGAAAATTGCGAGGATTGCCTCAAACAAGGCTCTTTTTGGTGGATTATTTCATAGGGAAGTAAGAGTTTCCTGATAGCTCCTTGACGTTTATCTTTGTGTACTGGAGAGGTTGTTCCAAATAGTTTTTCCTTTGTTTGACTTGAGGGGTGGGTGTAGCCTCTTAGGGAAGCAGGTCAAGTGAAAAGAATTAGCCTGCTGTTCTGAATTCCCCTGCTTCATCTCATCAGTTCTGTAGCTGTATCTCAGAACTTAACAACCCCATTGTGTTTGCAACAATCTTAGCTGCTAAGGAGATAAATACTCCATAAGACTATAAATAAATGTCTGTATGCTTTTTTTTTTTTAACCCAGAGCTACAGATAATTTTCTTCATTCAAATTTAAGGAGATATGTCTTGAATGCTGTAGCGCCTGGACCAGCATGCACTATTTTATGGAAAGTTTTTATATATCTGGGGAGCAGAGCTATCTCACATCTAGTTGACAGCTTTTAAAATACTTTATTTCTTGATGTTCTTCTAATCTTACTGCTTTTATTGTCCTCCTAAGCATATTTTTGTCTAGTTCTGCTTTTTTAATCTAACTCAATTTCCTGCCTGTATTTCTACTTGGGGCTTCAGTATCTTCAAAAGCAGACCTGATTGCCAGCTCATTACTTGGTGAATAGAAGTCACAGGCCTTATAAGGCAACATCAGTTTCTAAATACATGTATGCAAGGGTGTGGAAGAAATTCCCTTTACGTTTTAAAGATGCTCCTCACAACAAAATACGCTGTACTATTTTATAGTTCTATATCACATAACTATTTATTTTTTCTCTCCTAGGTCTAACGACACAAGTGCATGTTTTATGGAATTATACCTGCAGTTCATCACTTGAGGAAAAATGAATGGTGAAAGCTACTGAACTAAGCTGTGATTGTACTATATATAGAAACACTACAGTTTTATAATACTGGTTCTGTTAACATTTTGTACCAAATAGCCATAAAAAGTAGTCTAAACAATGGGTTATGAAGGTGTGTGGAGAATGTATATCTTGACATTGATTTTTGAGTATTTTTCATTAGAGTTAATTGACCAAATATTAGGTAGGAATTATATTTTTACATACTTGAGCGCTGCTGAAGAGTTTCTTGTTGAAAAAATATATAAACATTGCACCTCAGGTAAACTATAAATGCTGAAGTTGAAATATTGTTGGCTTAATGCTCCTTTTTCATAAAGGTGGAAGTTTCTCATCTGTTTTTTCTGTTGAACTATGTTAGTTTTTTAAAACAACTTCCTAATAAATTGTCTGAAACTGTCTGGTTTATAATTGTTGTGAACATCAAAGCAATGGTGCTGACATTATGCTGATTGCCTTGTATATGTTAGGACCATAATGTGTTGGAGGGATCTCT